GGGAGAAGAGAGAAAGAAGGTAGAGCGAGGAGGAGAGAGAGAGAGAGAGAGAGAGAGAAAGAGAGATAATGAGAAAGAGGGGGAGAAAGAGAGAACAAGAGAGAAAGATAGAAAGAGAGAACGAGAGAGAAAGAGAGAGAGAGAGAGAAGAGAGAGGAGAAGCGAGAGGAGGGATGTAGAGAGAGAAGATGGAGAGAGAGAGAGAAGAGGCGAGAGAGAGAGAGACGGAGAGAGAGATATAGCGCGAGAAAATCTGTGAGTGAGACTGACTGGTAATAACGTTGAGGTGGAGGACGGATGGATAGATGGATAGAATCCGCTTACACTCTATAAATATACAGCAATACTGGCAGAAGCATTAGCCTTATTCTGTTCGCCTGTTACCAAGGAACGGGAGGCGGGAAAACGCCTGCCGTTGATTTATATACTCGGCTACATCTCGCACTAGCAGACGCGTTATGTAGTGCGCGAGCTTGTTGGCCATTTCTAAAGACCCGGACCTATTCAAAATAAATCTCACTTTCGACGCACGCACCCGCCAATATAGACAGCATGCCGCGACCAACTTTATCAGATGAACAAGTTCGGTGATGCGAAGACGACAACAGGCATATTACCTGCGTCGCTACTAGCTGCTACTGCTTCCTGCTGCTATCACGCTTGCTAACTGCGCTACTGCTACTGTGCCTACTGCTGCTGCGCTGTGCTGCTGCTACTGCTGCTAGCTGGCTGACTAACTGCCTACTTGCTGCTGCTACTGCTGGCACTGGCTTGCTACTGCTACTGCTGCCTACATGCTGCTGCTGCTGGGCTACTGCTTACTGCGGCCCTGACCCTGCCTACGCTTGGCTACTGCTGCTGCTGCTGCTTGTTGTTGCTGCTGCTGGCTTGCTGCTGCTGCCTGCGGTGGTTGGTGGATTGTGCTCTGGCTGCTACTACTGCCTGCTTCTTGGCTGGCTGCTGCTAGCTGTTCTGGCTGCTGCTACTACTGCTGTACTGCTACTGCTAGCTACTGCTGCTGTTGATTATTGTTGCTCTGCGCCTGCTGCTGTGCTGGCAGGTGTGGTGGTTGGTGCTGCTGCAACTTACTGCTGCTGTCTACTGCTGTGCTGCTTGCTCTGCTGCTGCTGGCTAGCTGTGCGATACTGCTGCCTGCCTAACTGCTGCTGCTTGCTGTACTGCCGCCTGTTGTCGTTGTTGTTGTTGTTTGTGTGCTGCTGCTGCTGCTTGCTGCTGCAGGTGGTGGTGGTGGTGGCTGCTGAGCCTGCACTGGCTTGCTAGCTGCTGCGCTGCTGCTGCTGCTTGCCTGCTGCACTCTGCTGCTAACTACTAGTACTACTACTACCTATACTGACTACTATAGATTCTGGACGGATGAGACCTCGCTCTTCTCTCTTCACGTAATAGTTTCCGGCGCTTCCAGCTCTGTTGCACCATTTTACCGTTCTTTTGGCCCAGCTGATGTTGCCGGCAGGATCTCGCCCTCTATCCCTGTTCCCTCCCTCCCTCGTCCTCTCTCCGGCCCTGCCTCCCCTACTCCTCCTTCCCCCTCCTCTTCTCCCTCTCCCTCTCCGCTCTCCTCCCTCTGTCCTCTCTCTATCTTCATCTCCCTCTCTTCCTCTTCCTCTCTTTCTCTCCCTCCCTTCCTCTCTCTCTCTCTCTCCATCAATCTGCCCCTCCCTCTCTCTCTCGTCTCTAACTCTCTCTCTCTCTCCTCCCTCTGTTCTGTCTCTTCCTCTCCCCCATTCTCTCTACTCCCTCTACCTCTCTCCCCCTCCCCCTACCTCTCACTCTTCCACAACACTGCCCTGCCCAGAATCGTAATTGTTGTTGTTGTTGTTGTTGTTGTTGTTAGAGTTGTAATTGTTGGTATTGTTGTTGTTGTTGTTGTTGTTGGTGTTGTTGTTGTTGTTGTTGTTGTTGTTGTTGTTGTTGTTGTTGTTGTTGTTGTTAGCGTTGCGTTTAGTAACATCGCTGGTTACGCTAACGATCACGCTTATTGTTTCTCTCTCGCGCGCGCGTGTGCGTGCTTAAAATGTGTGCGTGTGGCTGAGTGTCCGTCTGTCTCGCACGATAAATTCTCTTTCTGTCGAATTTGTCGAGACGTTCACATCGTGCAGTATTAACGTGTTCTGCCGCTGCCCCGTCGCTATGAAATATAAATGTTTTTCTCCGCTCTCTCGCGCCCAATATTTAACGAAGTAATCAAAATGATTATAGATGGGCCTCCTCTTCTTCTCTCTCTCTCTCTCTCTCTCTTTTTCTCTCTCTCTTTTTCGGGCTCCGCCGTTTAATTGTATGAAAGCGAGCGATCGATAAGATTGTATTAACTTGTGCAGTTCCTGATTAACATACATGCAATTTCGCCCGCTTCCAATTATTTTGCCCTCGGCTTCATTAGACCGCCATGCGTGGAGCCTGAATGCAATCGTGGTCATCGAGAGTGGGCTACTTGGTTTATTATATATATATATATATATACGCTAACGGCGTGGCGGTGGCGGCGGCGGTGGGTGCATGCGACAACATTGGATCGTTAATTGATGGAACGACTCTGACAAATGAGAGAGCGAGAGGGGATGACAGAGAGCGAGAGAAAGACTTAAAGAGAGAAGCAAAGAGAAAAAAGGGAGGTGGAGAGAGTGACCAAGACATAGAGAGAGACGGATAGAAAGAGAGAGAGAGCGCGCGCGCGACGGAGAAAGAGGGGAAGACAAAGAAAGAGGGAGACAGGGAGAGAGAGAGAGAGAGAAAGAAAGGA